GGGGAGGAGAATCAACCGGCAGGCTAGGAGGGGGCGGGGGAGCGAATCAGGCGGCGCGGAGCAGGAGTGACCTGGACTGTGCAGATCTCTGGGAGCTCCCGTCCCGCGCGAGTCAGTCCGGCTGCAACTCCACCTCGCGCTTGACCAGCACGGACCAGGCTGCCCCTTCTCCTCCTCCCACGCAGCCAGGGCTCCAGCGCCAGTCGCACCCGCCTCCCGGTCACTCTTCCCCACCCCCGCCAGGAAAACCAGGAAATACCGGACACGGCACATGCACATTTCCGGTATTTTCTGGATTGTTTTTCCAGCCAGAGGGATAACGGCAATCCGAATTAGGATCTTTAATTCGAACTACCTACTCGTGTAGCTGCGGGCACGGCGTTCGGACTAAGGGGGATTTAAAAATGGCGGCGCCCCCGGTCACTCTTCCCCACCCCCGCCAGGAAAACCAGGAAATACCGGACACGGCACATGCACATTTCCGGTATTTTCTGGATTGTTTTTCCAGCCAGAGGGATAACGGCAATCCGAATTAGGATCTTTAATTCGAACTACCTACTCGTGTAGCTGCGGGCACGGCGTTCGGACTAAGGGGGATTTAAAAATGGCGGCGCCCGGGAACATGCAAATGAAGCCGGGATATTTACCCTACCTAGCTCGAACTGATGAGCTAGTGTAGACGTACCCTTAGTCATGAAGGTGCCACTGGACTCCGCGCTGCCTTGGCGGCTCCAGACTGACGCCAGACCCCTCGTTCAGCTGGGTTGGGGAAAAGGGAGGGGAGTTCGGCCTGGGAGGGATCTCTCCATGGGCGTCATTCCAACCCGGGGGTCATGACCATAGCGCCTCCCAGCTCTGGCCTCCCGGCCTTTGCCTCAGCAGCAGGCAGGTCTCCGGGTCCACGTGCCACCCACGTGCAGCGTTGGCAAAGAGCAGGCCGGTGCCGTGGGAGCAGGGAGCAGGCAGCGCGTGGCCACCGGCTCTGTACTTGTTTCTGTCCATTGACCCTGCCGTGCCGTGCCCCGCTCTGTGCAGTGTAGCTGTCGGTGGTGCATGCCAGTGCAGTCCTGTGGCGTGCTGCATGTCCGAGCTGAGCTCCCCTGCTCTGTCGCTGTGGGTCGCATGACCATGGGGCCGTGAAATCCCAGCTCGAACCAGGCCCATGAGGGTGGCCAGCCAGTGCTGCTGAAGGAACATGAGTCTTCCAGGAGGGGGGGTTCGTTTGCAGGGGCAGGGGCCACCACCCTCCCATCCAGCTTGTCTTTACAAGCGCCAGGAGGTGTCGCCCAGCTCTGAGAATCAGCAACCACCCAGCATGTCCCTGGGGACGTTCGGCTCCTTTCCCTCCCTCCCGGTCGCGGGGTTTGGTATTTGCATGGGGGGGACCTTTCTAGACTTTACACTCTTGTACTCGTGTCCAGTGTCTGGTGTGCGCTGGTTTGTATTGGATTGCCTTACACTGAAATAAACAGTGCTTTTTACTCCAGCCCAGCCCCGCGCGTCCTGCCCTCCGAGGGCGCCACGAGCCCCCAGCAATGTCCCCTCTGGGCGAGCCCCCAGGGCGGAAGGCAGATCCCTGCAAGGTGCTCTCCAAGGGCGCACGGCTCGGGCTCATTCACATTAGGCTGGTCCCTGGTTGCCGTCCAGGCTAGTCATGCCCCAGTTTGGCTAGTGCTCCCAGTTCTCCGCTGCCCCTGCAGCTGGTGCTGCGCTGTGCCAGGGCACTGAAACCCAATGAGTCCTCCCCCGCCGACGCCTGCCCTTTGGGCCTGCTGCCTAGAGCCCCGAGCGCTGCCCACATGCCGCTGTCTGCACCCAGCCGGAAACCCCAGCAGCAGATGGGAACCTGGTGTGAGGCAGGAGCCCTTTGGTTTCAACAGCAATTCCTGAGCAGCCTCCCCCCCCCTTCTGTTTCCCCGGCTGGGGTGGGACTGGCTGGCTCAGGGCTGGCCCCGTCTCGTGCTGTCAGCGCGGGCGGGATTCCAGTTCCATTTCTCCACCGCAGCCAGACTCAGCGCTAGACTGCGCCGTGCTGGGCTCCCTCTAACAGTGGTGACGGCCCTGTCCAGAGCCCCCCGCTTCTGGCCTGCAAACAGCCCCCCCACCTCCTCATCACCACCCCAGCTACAGAACTTTCAGCTGCAGGAGGGACCAGCCACCCCCACAAGGCTCCTTTCCCACTCCCGGGGCCCTAGCCCTGCGTCCACTGCAGGAGGACACACATCCTGCCCTGAGGGCAGGGCCGGGACCAGAATCTCTCCCCTCCAGGCCTAGGGGGTAGTGCCGTGTTCCTCAGCCAGGGCGCTGCATGCCTCATCGCGGCACGTCGACTGACCTCTCACAGGAAAAGTAACAGACCCCCACGCACTGGGGCAAACACTTCACAGAGCGAGCGCTGTACCCGGCCTCTCCATCCTCAGCCTCCAGGGAGCCCGGCCCAGCACTTGAACAGCCAGCCTGGGGCTCCAGCTCATAGCGTTGCTAAACACTGCAGTCGTGGCCGGGACAGAGGGTCTGGCTGGGCGGGGTATGGCACCATCTGTAACCTGCCCACCCAGGACTGCAGGGGGTTAACAGGCACCCTGCCTCCAGCGGCCCCTTACGCCGGCTGCAGCGCTGCTGTTCCCGCCGCAGGGACGTTACATTTAGTTCTAAAAGCTTGAGCGGGGAGCCGAGTTAGTCTGCGACAGGACAGACTTAAAAACCCACCACGGGTCTGGCAGCACCGTAAGGCCCGACGAAATATGGACATGGCATCGTGAGCTTTCGGGGGCACAGCCCACTTCTTCAGATGTGGCCAGTATTTCCAAGCAGTCCAGCTATTCAGGACTAAATCGAGAATTGCCTCTCCTCCCGTGGGGTCCAGAGCCAGCCGCTCCAAGAAGCCGTCATAAAAAACTTTCTCTCTGTCCCGAGGTGCCGTGTCCCCAGTCAGTGTGGGGCCAGGTGAACTCCCCCCGTGTTACTGAGTTTGTAGTTCGATAGCCTTGCTACTCTCCCTTAGCATTTCATAGTCACTGTTCTGCTCGCAGCTTGGAATGCTGTTTGTACGGCTCAGTTACGATTTTTACGTCATTTGATGTGATGCTTTCATTCACATACAGTGCCCCTCCCCCACCAGCGCGGCCTGTGCTCTCCTTCTGGTATAGTTTGTACCCTAGTGTGAGTGTGTCTCATTGATTAACTTCTATTATTGGCTTTTGGCATCAAATCGCTGGCTCCAGCATCCCTGATCCTTATGGCTCCACTCTGTGCTTCTCTGCTAGCCCTAACCCCATGTCTACACCACTGGAGAAAGTTGACTTAAGATATGCAATTCCAGCTACAAGCCCAGCGTAGCTGGAGTCAACATACCTTACGTTAGCGTTCCGCCATGTTTCCATAGCAGACGGTCAACAGGAGAAACACGCCCATTGATTTCCCTTCCTCCTCACAGCCCTTAATAGACCTGCTATATTGAACCCCAGAGCATCACACTCTAGGGCTGTGTCTACATTGGCATGAATTTCCGGAAATGCTTAAAACGGAATACTATTCCGTTTGCAGTTTTTCCGGAAAAGGAGCATCTACATTGGCAGGCTGCTTTTCCGGAAAAGCCCTTTTTCCAGAAAAGCGTCTGTGGCCAATGTAGACGCGCTTTTCTGGAAAAGAGCCCCGATTGCCATTTTCGCGATCGGGGCTTTTTTCCGGAAAAGACTACTGGGCTGTCTACACTGGCCCTTTTCCAGAACAGTGTTCCGGAATAAGGACTTATGCCCGAGTGGGAGCAGAATAGTTTTTCCGGAATAGCGGCTGATTTTGTACAGTAGAGCGTCGGTGCTTTTCCGGAAATTCCAGGGCCAGTGTAGATAGCTCGCAGCTTATTCCGGAAAAGCGGCTGATTTTCCGGAATAAGTGGCCCAGTGTAGACACAGGCCAGGTAAATAGCGAAGCCCTCAGACTGTTCAAATTCAGCCTCCATGTGCTGAGCCTCAATGAGCCAGCCCTGAGCAAAGCATTCACCCTTCCCTTCCCAAATACAATGTGGGAACAAGTAAATAACGTTCCTTTATTCCCTTTTTCCAACCAGGCATGATTTTACAGCCCTCTGGCGTGTAGCCTCTCGTCACTTTTCTAAAATGAAAAGTCTCAGTCTTATTAATCTCGCCTCATGGCAGCCGTTCCAAACCCCTAATCAGTTCTGTTGCCCTTTTCTGACCCTTTTCCAATGGCACTATATCTTTGAGAAGAGGCAATCACATTTGCAGACGAGATGTGGGCGTACCATGGCTTTATACAGCGGCAATAATATGTTCTCTGTCTTATTCTCTAGGCCTTTTTTAATGATTCCCAACGCTTTGCTTTTTCAACTGTCGCTGCACACGGAGTGGCTGTTTTCTGGGAACTATCCAGTGACTCCAAGATCTCGCTGCTCATTCAGCCCCCCATCAGTGTATATAAATAGCTGGGATTATGTTGTCCAATCTGCAGTTCCTCGCATCTATCAGCATTACATTTCATGTGACATTTTATGCCCAGTCTCCCAGTTTTGCGCGATCTCTTTGGCAAGGCTTTGCCGTCTAGCTGAGACGTAACTGCTGGGAGCAGTTTTGTGTCAGCTGCAAATTTGGCCACCACCAGGGAGGGAGTCTTGGGCCTTCGTTCCCACTGGGCACACCTGCGGGGGCTCAGAGCTTCCTTTGGAGCAGGGCTGAAGCCCCGGCAGGCTCTCCCCAGGGCTCGACGTTCTGAGATTGTCCTATGTGGCCCAGAGGGTCAGGCAGTTTGGCCACCCCGGCTTAACTTCCCTGGGAGATGGCTAGTGGCTTCAGAGTGCTCCAGAGGTCGCAGGCAGGACTTAGGACTTCCCACGGCCTCCCTGCGTGGCCTTTTGCAATTCGCTCTGCCTTGCCTCCTCTGCAAAGGAGATGAAGGCGGTGGTGAGGCTGCTCTGCAGAACACTGTGAGCGCTGGGACACCTTGTTTGTTAGGTTGCCCCAAATCCTGGATCTAGAGTGCTAGCGAGGGGATCGCAGGCTACGTGCGTGAACGACTCAGCCCCAAACAGCCTCTGCATCTGTGCCCAGAGCCGAGGGGCAGGGAAGAGCAGACAGCAGGAGCCTGGACGTGTGGGAGCTGCGTCTCTCGTCTGAATGCAGAAATCCAGAGGCTGTGGCCGTTCTTTCCTAGAGTCTGTCAGCCAGAATCATCTGTCTGTTAGAGACGCTGCTTGCTCCTGTCTGTCTCCCGAGTGGAGCGAGGCAGAGGGGCCAATCGCTCATGCTGCCATGCCAGTATGGCAAGGCGGAGACGGACGCTTTATAAATTGCGACATTAGGCTCTTGCAGACGCTCCGTGGCGTTCTCACTCACGATCGATGCTGCCCGCTGGGGGCTGTGCAGCGACCACTCGTCTTGCTGCACAAAGTGGCTTGTGGCTCATGAGAATGGCCGGGCTCTGGGGACCTGCGAGGCAGATGCAGTGATGTGGTACCAACCCCCACCGACTGGAACAGAAGGGGAGGGGGTGAAAACCCCAGCCCAGCCCTAACGTGACTGGCTTTTAATGAATAGAGCACAAAACCGCTCTCGAGTGGGAATTCCAGCAGCACTTGGCTCTGCTCCCCACAAAGCCGGCAGGAGAATCTGGCCAGTGCTGAGCACTTCGCAAGAGCCTGCTTCCATTGATTAAACCAGCTTCCCACAGCAACTGTGCTTTGCTGAAATCCTTCCCCCTCAGGGACCTCCCAGCCAGAGTGTGCAGCTGCATAGGACGCCCAGAAACCCGAGGCATCACTGGTCCCCTGCCTGCCTGTTCTTATCCCTGCTTGCTCCAGAGAGGACCTAGTTCACTGACAGGTGTCAAAGGCTGCCAGAGCTGGCGCCTGCAAAAGAGCCATTTGAGTGGCAATGAAGCCACTTCACGGGCATTTGCTAGCCCCAGGCGTAGACTTAAAAACCGAGTAGCCCTGCAGCACCTCAGGGACTCTCAGAATGCAGGTGGCCTTGTGAGTTTCCGTGGGCACAACCCACCCCCTCAGCTGCGGCTTGTCCGCATCGGAAAGACACGCTAATTACAAACCACAATTTCCATTTCTTTTTCTGCTTTTTTTCGGAAGAGGCTTTTCCGACATCCACACGGGGCCAAATTTTGGAAACCCTGCTCTTTGGGAACATCCCTTCTCCCTCTCACAATGAGGATACAGGAAGGCCGAAAGAATGCATCCAAGAGTTCCGAGGAGTCCCCCCGGAAAGCTCTGCCGTGTAGGCATAGCCTGAGTGGTGCTATAGGACCCCTTATTTGCTGGCGCCGCTCCAGGGGGTCCCCGGCTAGCCCAATGGGTTCTGCAAAGGGGTAAAAAGCTTCCACAACTTACGTGGAATGGACATGCAGCACACGTGGCTGCTCTGGGTCCGAACACCCCCTCCGCGGGTCAGAGCTGCTGCTGGGACACACCCAAAGCCCGTTCACATGATGGACAGGACCACAATTCCAGGTCTCTGATTCCCCTCCCAGCCACTCACGTCTTTGGCTCGAGAGTTGGTGTTTTTTAATTGCTGGGAGCACTGGAAAGGCAATCAGAAAGACAGGAATCACTTGCAGAACCTGGACCTGGGCTGCAGGGCTCATATCAAGAGTAGTTCTGTGACCGTACCCAGAACAGCAGCGGAGGGCGGCTCGTAAGCAGCAGGCACATGGGGCAACAGGCTGTGTCAGTTTCAATACAGCCCGCGCAGGCCAGACGAAGGGGAAATCAGCATGAGCAGTGTGGCCCTCTCATGCTGTTGTGTGGCAGGGAGGGGTTTGTCAGGCTAGTGAGCCCGCCTGCGCCTGATGAAACACTGACTGCCTGGCAACAGCCCCGTGATACCCAAGGAACAGCCTGCCTTTCTTTTCTCTGGCCTCACGGAGCCAGCCTGCGGGATGGAGGCATGGAGCTTGCATGGCACCCGTGCCCAGCAAATATGCTTAAGCCTTTGTCAGTGCAATAAGGGGGCCAGGCACGTCTGTGCTGGGCCCCAAATGCACAAAGCCCCGAGTGAGTGCTCGCTGGGGACAGCCTGCAGGACCAGAACAGCGGGGCCAGAATCATCACTGGGCGGGTGCCTGTCCCAGCTGCTTCCGAGGCAGCCCCTTGTGGGCAGCGATGGAGCAACTTGTCGAGGGAGGAAGTTTCTCCAGGGAAGATGCTGGCTCGCGCCCTGACTGTATAGTCCCTAACACACCAGTCATTCTAATTCTCCAGAGACCTGGCCAATCCTTTTTCAACCCTGCTAAGTTCTTGCCCTCAGGCATATCCTGTAGCATAGAGTCCCACAGGTTAATGATGCTTTGGGAGGCCGAAAGACAGGATTCCCTTTCATCCATCGACGTTTGCTGCTGCCCAGTGCCACTGGCTGTCCCCTAGTTCCCGAGGAGAAAGGGGCACCCAGTCTGCCTTCGCCCCTTGCTCCATGTTCTTGCTCATCTGGGACCTCTCCGAAAGAGCAGCTTTTTCAGGCTGCCCTGAAACTGGTCTGAAAGAGAGAAGCAGATGAGGGGGCTCACGGAGCAGTTGGAATAGGCCAGCACCGTGGCCACGCTGGAGGCCACGAAAGCTGCAGGCGTCTGAGAAAGGCGGTGAGTGGCAGAGAGGTAGATCACCACGCAGCCAGGGATCCACATCAGGACAAAGACCGTCACCACCGTCAGTATCATGACCGTGGCCTTCTGGTTGAGTTGTGCACTCCCTGCCGAAGGGGCCATGTGGCTGTGCCGGCACCAGAGGACCTGGACAATCCTAGCGTAGCACAGGAGCAGCAGCAGCACAAAGGGGAGAAAGGCAACCCCCCCAACAAGGATGAAGTAGAGGAAGGTTTGCTCAGGAGTCATGAGAAGCACACAGTGATGGGCCTCTCCAGCCTTCATGACCCTTTGGTGCATCCAGTTGGGGATGGAGACGCAGAAGCCCAGAAGCCACGTGCTCATGCACAGCAGGAGCCGCTGGCCCTTACTGGTTGAGAAGGAGCAGCTGGGATGGACCACGGCCACGTAGCGCAGGATGGATGTGGCCACCATGCTGTAAAAGCTGCAGAACATGGTCCACATGGAGAGGCTCTGGCTGCTGACACAGCAGGCCACCCCCAGCTGCCAGTCCTCCTGGAGAAAAGTCAGCAGCAGCACCGTGACGTTGTAGAGGAGGAAAAGCAGGTCAGAGGCGGTGATGTTGACCATGAGGGTGCTGCTCAGGGTGGAGATGTGGCTGCTGCTGCTGCTCTGGAAACCCTCAGTGAGGACTAGCAGCATGAGCAGGTTTCCTACAAGGCCGACTAACAAGGTCAGGCTGCAGAAAGTGGCAAAGATGCACCTGAGCTGCGTCATGGTCAAGCCAAGGAAGCGGTGGCCTGCAGCCTGTGCAGAGGCGGAGCCAAGGCTGCTGTTGGAGGCGAGGAAGACGCCGTCCGTGAAGTCCATTGGTCCAGCTTGACAGAAAGGAGAACAGTCACCAGTAACCATCAACAGGCCCTGCTCAGGTCCCTGCCCTCTGGCCACCCCTGTGCACCTTACCGGAAGGGGAAACCGAGGCACAGGGGCACTTACCCAGAGTCCTGCGGGCCAGGGAGGGTGGGAGTCGCAGGACCAGCGAGCAGGTCTGAGCAGAGCGATGGGGGGGTGCCTATATGACAAAGCCCTGACTCGGGTCGCCCAAGGCCTGGCCGGGATCCCTGGTGCGTATCCACCCGCCGGAAGCAGCCCTGAGCTGCTCACCTGAAGGGCTCTTCTCCCGCTGCTGAGTTACTGCCCATCCCCCGCCCCTTGTGCCAAGCAGCATCTCAGTTCTGGGTGCCGGGCGCCTTCGGGGGCCCCCTCTCCAGGGGCGGGGGTATTCCC